GGGGGGGGGGGGGGGGGGGGGGGGGGGGGGGGGGAGGCAAAGGTGATTGTGTTGCTTGGCACTTTTGGGATACCGCTAGGTTGGTGAGCAGTGCTGTGCCCAGCTGAAGAGGGGGATTGCCGGACAGCTGCTCTCTTGTGAGCGGGCTCCCAAAGAGCTGGGCACAGCCTCATGGGCGAATGGCTTTGTTGCACTGTCGCAGCAGCCATGAAGTGACCACGTTCACAAGCAGCCACCCGGCAAACCCCTTTTCCAGCCAGGCACAGCGCCATTCACTGACCTAGGGGTATCGGCAAGCCGCATGAGTGCCTGTTCGCTGCCACCCGGCTCTCGCAGCTTGGCATCTTCAAAATGCCAGTGAAAGGCGCTCTGCATGGCTGGAGAATGGGGTTGTGTGAGCGGCTGTTCCGCTCCTGCTCGCACGCCTCCCAGTCTCACAATGCCTTGGCCCAGCTCTCCCCGCAGAGGCAGAGTACCTCTGCTGCTGCCGCCGCCGTCATCCCAGCATGGCTTTTTCGGTGGCTTCCAAACCGAGTCTTCCGGCAGTGGCCTCTCTGGGCGTATACTCTACGGCCAACTGCCGGCAGAGCATACAACCATAGAGCGTATGCCCAGAGTGGCCACTGCTGGAAGACTCAGTTTGGAAGCTGCCAAAAAAGCCATGCTGGGATGGCAGCGGCAGCGCAGTGGAGGTGCCCTGGCTCTGCGTGTAGAGCTGGACCAGGGGATCATGAGGCTGGGAGGCGCATGAGCGAGAGCGGAACAGCCACTCGCGCAACCCCTCTCCAGCCATGCAGAGCACCATTCACTAGCATTTTGAAGGCGCCAAGCCGCAGGAGCCAGGAGGCAGCGAACAGGTGCTCGCGTGGCTTGTTGATACCGCTAGGTCAGTGAATGGCGCTGTGCACGGCTGGAAAGGGGGTTTGTCAGGTGGCTGCTCGTGAGCTCGACAGCGCAACAGAGCCATTCGCCCATGAGGCTGTGTCTGGCTCTTTGGGAGCCCACTCGCAAGAGAGCAGCTGCCTGGCAACCTCAAAACAATAAACCCTCCCCTCATGATAAGCCCAAGCCATATTTAGTGGGTAAAAAGAAAATAAGACCCTGTCTTATTTTCAGGAAAACACGGTACTTAACAGAAAGCTGCTTAATCTTTGTATTAAATAGCCTGAGACTGCTAGCCCATGGTGAAGCAGAGAATCTGGGAGATGGGCAGGGATATTCTGTGGCTCAAGTCTCATCCAGTATAATTTCAGTAGGTGATGCCAATTAACTAAATGGCACGCCTACAAATTGCATAACAACATATAGCTCTGTAACTGCTGTGGTTCTAGTTGCCAAACAACTGATTGGTATCCTAGGCTTTGCAGCTTAACTCTGCTTTCAACTGCCTTGTAAAATTCCAGAAACTTTAACAATTGCCTTTTACAAGCCAGTATCAGCTGGCTGTGCCACACCAACGTATGTCAAGCATTCAAGGAATGACAACCCCCTCATAGAATTACATGAAAATTGGTAAGATGCTGGATGCTGTCCATGGTCCTAGAATGTCAAGACACTCCCAGCTTATTCTCAACAGACATATTTTTGATATTAGTGACAAAAAGAGACCAGGTGAATGCAGGAATCCTTCCTCAACTGAAGCTACATCAACACCATTTGTAATTGTGTAAATAAACCCAAAAGTTAGCTGCAAGCGGGCTCTGTCCAAAAATATAGAATTTGAAGTGGATGGGACTAAGAACAGCTATCAAGGCATCTCCAAGCCAAGTTATACGTTGACTATCAAAGATTGGTTTCAAACACAAGGAAATCAAATGGGAAGGCTCCAACTCCAAACCCATTGGCAGAAAAGAAATGACGGCAAACCCAGATCACAATGTTGCTGCTAAGCAAACATCCGCACAAAACTTCCTTAAAGTCATTTAAAGTGATTGTGCAGCACTGCGTCCTCTTTTTCGCATTCTCCAGCTCCATGGGAAAATCCCCACATCCCTGACTGCTGAAGGATACATATATAAAAAAAGATCCTATCATATCTTTTAGGATGTATACTGAAGGCCAAAACTAGGTGATGTCTTCAACTATTATGCCCATATTTGTTCCCCTGAAATATAGGCTATAAACATGGGATAAGCTATGAACACTTTAAAGGCACAAACCTATCAACCAAATATACAAATAAATTAATGCACCATTTTAATATTTTCTTGAGTATGTTGTTCTGTGCCTATCTTGGGATTCTAGTTCCCAGAACATCTATCCACCCTATGCTGACTGTGATTATGTGAACAGAAATCCCAACATATATAAAAACCATCAGTCTGGGAAATTACAAACTAGAACCTTGATACTTTAATGTCCCAGTATTAAAGTAGCAGTTTTTGAGTATTTAGTCAGGTGCTTTTGATGTGATTCAGGCTTGAAGTGCAGGAGTGGACAACACTTTCTCTCCCACCCCCAGTTGCAATGAAAATCCATAAAACATTCCTCTCTTGAGCTAAATCAGGTGTCTCCAAACTTGGCAACCCTTTAAGACTCGTGGACTACAACTCCAGAATTCTGGCTGGGGAATTCTGGGAATTGAAGTCCACAAGTCTTAAAGTTGCCAGGTTTGGAGACCCCCCCGCCAAGTTAAATTGCAGTATGTTTGCATGTGTGCATACAACCACACGCAGAGAGACGTGTTTCATCAGAAAACTGAGTGGAGGAAAAAATCCAAATCACATCTTGAATTTAATGTTTGCTTTTGTTTTGTTTCTTAATGTAAAGAAAAAGCACAAATGATATCTCACTTAATGTTGCATCTCTCTCTCTCTTCCTTTATGTCAAACATTTTGTGGTGTGCACTGCTATTCCTCTGCCTTGCAATCTGCCACACGTCTCAATGACCCTCAGCCACGGCTTCCAATTGTGTAGTATCTGATATTTTTTTGGGGGGGAAGGCAAGCTCATTGGCTAGTTCTGATTTTCTAGTGAAGCAGACCCCACCAATTTTTGGAAAAAAATCCTTAAAACCCATTCTGAAGGACTTGACAAGAATAAAAATGACTCGTATAAATCTCCATTCTGCTTACAGCACATCTGAGTCCAATGGTGTCCAGAATCCATATTGCTAGAAGCCCCACAGGAACCGATACCACAAAGTACACAATGGAGAGCCAATTGACCATATCCAGTGAGGTATGGAATCGTTCAGCTGTTATGTCAGCCACTGGAGCAAAGGTCAACCATAGCTAAAGAAAGGAAATGATAAGAAAAAATCACTGTCAAAACATCCAGGTATCCTTGTTTGTGAGTACTAAAATTTAGGCACCTTCTAAGTCAGGGGTGTCAAATTCAATTTCATTGAGGGCCACATCAGGGTTGTGTTTGACTTCGGGGGGGTTGGGGGGGCATGGCCAGGTGAGCATGGCCAGGCTGGCCATGGCCAGATCGATGTCACTCATGTCTGGGGCATCTGTGGTGGCCAGGCTGGCCCATCCAGACTCAGTTTTTGGCTAGAATGGCCTCCTTTCACTGACAGAGGCACCATGGGCCGGTCCTTCACTGTTTCCAGTGTGGCCCCAGAGGCCAGATATAAGCACCCCACAGACTGGATCCAACCCGTGGGCCTTGAGTTTGACACCCATGTTCTAAGCTATTTGTACTATGGTTTCTTATTTCTTGCATATAATATAATAACATAATAAAATATAATCTAACATTTTAAAGCACCCTATATCATTTAATCACATCACCAGCCTCTTTTGGATGAATATCCAACACTACTGAAGAAAGTGCTGAAGACAGTTTTCAACAAAAAAGGAAATGCAACACTGGAAAAATTATTTAAAAGTAACTTTTCAACAACCTTAAAATGTATTCATTACAAACATAAAACAGTCACTGAGCATTTTGGAAGCCTAAATTGAAACGACTGACATCGATGCCCTTTTCAATAATTAGTTGGCAAAGGACAGACAGGTCATATCTGGATAGCAAAAAATCTAAAAGACTGCTAAAAGGAACTAAAGAATAGCAATTTCTCTATTTTGTTGCTACCATACTGTATGGTGATCATTCAGATTTTGAAATTCAGATATGACATACCCAACACACTATTATTATTATTTTTGCATCAGAATTTTGGTCCTAGACCATAAGTGCAATCTGAAAATAGGAAGGTCTCTAAGCCATTACACAGAAATGTATTCCTTTAAATGAATAACTAAGATTATATTGATGAACAAATATCTATATCTTTTCCAGATATTTTTCTAGAAATCAGATGTTCTTATTAAGATTAGAATACTTCTTGTTGATTCATCAAAAGAGAAGAATCCTACTTGTCTCATCAACAACATTTACAATAGAGAAGAATGAAAGTGGCCTTAAAGAAGAAAGAATTCAATGGCTGCAATGTAAGGAAGGAGTAAGAAACTCAGAGCTGCCTTGCTTTGAAACTCTTGGGTATAATATAGAGGTGAGAGATACTATGAAGCAATAAAGTTGAGTTATGCTGAGTCTTGTGGCGTTGGTTTCTAGACCAGATCTATTTTGAAGGGTTGACAAAGCGTTATTAAAATTGAAATGCTTTGCTAATGATCTGGAATCATTCCACTTGATACATGTATAGATTCAAGACAACGTAATCATTGAAATCAGAACATTTCTATGTCTTTATTGCCCTAATAGAATCCAAAAGAGTAAAGTTTTGGGTGATTTTACCACCAATGAAGATATCCATCTCAAAATAGGACTTCTTCATGTTCAGAAGTTAAAACCTAGAGCATTAAAGTTTACTTATCTGTAAAATTACATTCCATCACAGAAGACAGAATAATATTTGTAGAACATTGTGCAATAGGTATTCCTCTAACCTCAGCAATACAGCCCTTAAAACAAAAAAAAATCCAGATTTAATGTAAGATATAAACGGGTTCTGAATGCTGATTCTGAAGGCAGACAGCTTTTATGTTTACATTCAAAAGCTGGAGCATTACAATGATGGTTTGATTGTACTCTAGAGCTACTGATTTGCTTTAGACTTATCCAAAAGTTCAGATCTTTTTTGGTTCAAAAATCACCATTAATTTATTCAGAACAATGATGAGGGTCTTTAATCCAAGTGAAAGCCAGCTCATCTAATCTCTAGGACCTTTGGCCAAAATTCTGGCCTTGACCACTACACCTGGAACACCATATTGGAAAAAAGATCTGTAATGAGCAAAGCCAGGTCTCAAAATCATAGTTCTTCAAGGTATTTCCAACTGAGAATATTTTCAATATCTGGCTGAAAATATTCCTAGCTACTCATGTAGCTTCTTCTTGGGATCTGGAGAACATCCATGAGAGGAGGCACAACTCTGGGCTTCTCTGGTTAAGTCATCTGGCTCCAAGGAACACGCTTGGCCGGGGATTAAGCTTTTGAATCAGACCTGGTTCCTTGCTATTTCCCTGCAGCCAAACCCACAGGGCAACATAGGAAAATAACATAGGAAACATAATGAAGGTCACCGAAGGTAGTCATAATGAAAAGCAGGATGTGTTTTTTGGAGATGGAGAAAAGTGCAATAGATATATTTAAAAAAAAAAATCAGGAATGAAGCATTACTTCAGAGTGTAAGAGATAAAAAAAAAATAAGTTGCCAGTAAAATGATATACTGAGTTTAAATGCTCAAATTAAAAGATAAGACCAAAATATATAACTATCTTAGTAAGGTGTGTAACCTGAATTGGGTGAGCAAATACAAACATACTTTCCAAGTAGACAAGCTAAATGAAAAAAAAAATCAATTTCAGGTGGCTGGTGTCAGAGGGGATCCTAATTAAATGGAATTCCAGAAGATACAGACTGGACTCTACCATTAAGGCAGCGAATTTTTTTATGAAAGACATGTAAGTATTTTTGAAGAGAAAACACAAGATGCACAAGGAACAGGGCTTCTGATGTTGGCTTCAGGATCTCAAGAGAGAGAGGTAGAGGACCTAGGATAGTTACATTGCCTTGCTAGGGTACCACTGAATTGGTTTCCTTCCATTTAATTGGTTATTCCTTTCAAGAAATTAGTAATTAGCTGATGTGAGTCAAGTTGCATATAAATTTAATAAACAGTCATTCTCCACATGATATCAGATTGAAAAGCTTAGGGACTTATACAGTGGTATATACCTGAGATGAGAAGTACAACAAATCCCAAGGTCAACATCTGCGTTTGTCTGAATCAGTTGTCAAAAACCAGCAATGATATGTCCACCAGCACCTTGGTTTCTGCCCTTCCAAGGACAATCCACAAGCCCTTCTTAGACATAAATCCTACATCCACAACATTCTCCATCATCCAGCACAAGCAGCTCTGAACTGAAACTGCTACTGTAAATGAAATGAAGTTAATAAAGTTTTAAATGGGTCAGGCAAAGTGACAGGATCTGCCGAGCTAATTGTGACTCAAGTGAAGTATTAATACCACTTTATAATGCCTTGGTAAGGTCACACTTGGAATACTACATTCAGTTTTGGTTGCCATGATGTAACAAAGATGTAGAGACTCTAGAAAGCGTGCAGAGAAGAGCAACAAAGATGATTAGGGGACTGGAGGTCAAAACATATGAAGAACAGTTGCAGGAACTGGGTATGTCTAGTTTAAATGAAAAAAAGGACTAGGGGAGACATGATAGCAGTCTTCCAATTTCTCAAGGATTGCCACAAAGAAGAGGGAATCAAACTATTCTCCAAAGCACCTGAGGGTAGACCTGAGGGTAGAACAAGGAGCAATGGGTGGAAACTAATCAAGGAGAGAAGTGACTTACAACTGAGGAGAAATTTCCTGACAGTTAGAACAATCAATCAGTGGAACAGCTTGCCTCCAGAAGTTGTGAAAGCCCCAACACTGGAAGTCTTTAAGAAGATGTTGGATAGCCATCTGTCTGAAATGGTATAGGGTTTTCTGCCTCGGCAGGGGGTTGGGCTAGAAGACCTCCAAGGTCCCTTCCAACTCTGCTATTGTATAAGTACCATAATCCCCAAGTCAACTATGCAGCATTTGAAACTGGGAAAACAGTTTGCAAAGAGGAAATATTTAACAGGTGGATTGTTTCTTTCTAGTTTCCTCCCCTCTCCCCAGTGCAAGGTCTGCTCTTTTGGGGGGCGGGGGGGTGGGGGAATCAATCAAGTGTTAATCCATTGGTTGCAATAGGAAATGACCAATTGGCTCAGCCTGATATTGTGGGCTAAAAGAGGGATTAGCCCAAAATCATCCATCAGTTTTTTCAGTCCTGAACTCATATCATTCTGATTTCTAGCTTGGTGCCTTTACCACTAGATTGAACCGACTTTCTCATTAAAGCCAATTCAGTCCTGGGCTGCATTAACAGAGGGATAGAATCAAGATCACGTGAACTGTTTGTACTGCTTTACAGTAAGACTACACTTGGAATACTGCATCCAGTTTGGTCACCATGATATAACAAAGATGTTGAGACTCTAGGAAGAAGGCAAAGAAAATCAACAAAGATGATAAGGGACTGGAGGTTAAAGCATATGAAGAACATTTGCAGGAATTGGACATGTCTAGTTAATGAAAAGGACTAGGAATGACATGACAGTAGTGTTTCAATATTTGAGGGCTGCCACAAAGAAGAGAGGGTCAACCTATTTTGCAAAGCACTTGAAGGACAAGAAGCAGTGGATGGAAACTAATCAAGGAAAGAACTAACCTAGAATTAAGGAAAAATTTCCTGACAATAAGGACAATTAACCAGTGGGATGGGTTGCCTTCAGTAATTGTGGGTGCTCCATCACTGGAGGTTTTTAAGAAGAGATTCAACAGCCATCTGTCAGAAATGGTATAGAGTCTCCTGCTTGTGCAGGGGATGGATTTGAAGACCTCCAGGGTCCCTTCCAATTCTGTTATTTATTTATTTAAAATATTTATATAATTGCACAACTTATAACCAATTTTGGGCTGTTCCCAATCAAGAGGTGAGTTTTGGTGACCTATATGGTAAGTCACAAAAAGAAATAACAGGTAAAGTGCTCAGGATATTTTCGTTTGCCTAGCAAAAGAATCTGATAAATTCTGATAAAATCAGAGCGGCTTCCTTTGAATTAATATTTACAGGTTTCCATTATCCTACAATTAGTGACCAGTAATGGGTTGAAGGAAGTTTTAGAGGAAACTGAGCAGACCAGATTTACTAGTAGTAGTGTTTTGTGAGTAGTAGGGAAGTTGTGATGTGCTTGGAATACGCTAC